TCTATCAATCCCTCAGGTCAGTCTTAAAAAAACAAGAAATCCCCTATTTTTTGCGAACGATGAATTAGTTAAACAGAGAATCCACCAATATCATAAGGAGTTATGTATCAGAAGAGATAAAACGATTTGGCAACTTGAGAAGTCTGTATACAGCACTCCCACCAGATTCGAACAACCTACTTCAGCCTCATCAATTCATCCCACCCCACCTTCCCCTAAAATCCCCACATCTTCCAGAGCTTCGATTTACACTGCTCCAAGGACTCATAAAGACAGCAGATACCGCATTTCCCAACTTCTAAACCAGCCCCTTATCACCTGGTGGAAACTAGATTTCCCACAAGACAAATACCCCCATTATTCCCCAACATTACGTCACCAAAGTGGACTACTTCCTTTTTATGGCCCCCACCAAGAGATACACCATATCCTCCTCCACGGTGTCGAACAATGAGGAATCCACCCACACCAACGGTGACCCCACTAATTAACCCTGAATACCACCAAGTAACACCTGCAAACACAGCAACCACCTCACGTACCTGGTACATATCCAGACCCACCCCATATCCCATACGACTTTTCACGGGAAGATCCCCTCATTCGTGCTTACTGTATTTACAATCTGCACAAACTAAGCTCTCTCCATTGTTACGAAGAAAGGGAAATGCATCCGGATCCGATCGGAGTTATTGTTCACGATTTATGTACATCAGGGAGGTTGAAATGTCATGCCACGATGAGAAATTTTCAATGGGAAAAATTCGTAAATTTCCACTAGTTACCGAAATTTTGTCTCTACATACATACATAGAATGCACAATTTTAAGAATTTTCTTATCAAGTGTTTCATCATAAAATAATTTATAAAAATTTCAAAATCCAGCTGAATATTTAGGAGCTTTTCTCTCTGGAAAATTGTCCATTGTAGCGTGGCATTTTCACCATCCCGTATTGATGGAAGAGGGTTCGATTTCATTGTAGTTTTTCGGGCGAGGAGGGAGAATTTTGGGTTGTGTATTTATATGTATGTTCAAATACGTTGTTTGAGGACGCAATATTTTCTCTCATATTGGGTCAGATTGAATCTTTTGTCAGATGCGATAAAACTGCAGTAACCATAAATATACAAGTCGAATGGAATGAAAAGAAAAATAATGCAGGGTTTTTAGTTGGAATGACAATAAACTGATCCATAAATATGGCATTGCACGAGGCACGGTGTATGTACATACATGAAGTGAACGAGGAATTATGTATGAGAAATTCTTATTTAAAAGAGTCGTCTTTATTAATCCCCAATTTTAACCCGTAAAATTTATTTTAATTGACCCAAATGTCAATGCGATCAACTTTTATGCAGTTGAAAATAATTATTTCCAGTTTATTTGCTGTTTTTTACATAATATAAAAAATTATGCATAATTAATATAAACAATTACATACATATACAGCAGTAATACTTATTACCATTTAGTTCTATCGATACCTGCATTCCCAGTTATAGGGAAATTCATGTATTCGTATTTTATTGCAATTTCACGGACCCGTCCGCTGTAAATAATAGTTGTGTTAAATTTAACAAGCGTTTAGTAAAAACAATAATGACATAAGAATTGTAAGTTTTTTTCAACCGTTGTACAGATTTACCCAATTGTTTATCTTCTTTTTTACTCAACCTTGGTAAATTTTACATATTTTTTTACAGTGTATTATTACTATTCAACCACTACAAGGTTGTACGTAATTAAGGGAAAAATTTATATTATAAATACCTACTACTGTATCTGTGCACATAATGCAGATTAAGCAGATGGCGAGCATATAAATGTTTCGTAATTTAATTTGACAATTTGATAAAATAATTCAATGTTTAAATTAAAATAGGCAAAAACAAAGGTCTTAACATTATGACGTATTTATGTAATTATAATTATAATTCTAAGTGAATATAAATGTCTGCGTATGACATTTCCTAGACTTATAGCTTATATAATTTAGCGCTGAATATTTATTACTTAATTCTGATAATGCACTGGTGTGAACTATTTAATTGAAATCTTTAGACGCCGGTCCGCGCCGCGCCCAAAAATGCCCAAAATTGGCGCCGCCCCAAAATTGGTCGGCGTTTACGTCTGATCTACAGTGACGCTACCTGAGATATTGAGTCAATATCGTAACTACAAAAATTTATGCTCGGATAAACGGTAGAACTATTTACCAATTAAAAGAAGCCATTTTTCTTAGATTTACCATGACAGTATTGGACAATGTTAATTACATATTTAGGTAATGCATTACTATTATTATACTTGTACCCCATTATACGCTCCTTTATGGACAAGAGTGGCCCCAAAAAGGGATTAATAAATTCATTCAATCGTTCATTCATTCATTCATTCACATCTATTCATTATAATAACTTGGGTGGCAGGTGGAGATTAGCGTCCATCTTGGCAGGCAATTAGATTTATTGTTGAGTATTACGACCCTGACGCTTGACCCTTACAAATTCAAGCTCAGCTGTTTTGTGTGAGAACTAAGGTATAAATTGGACACTATGAAGTACATAGTTTGTGCACAAGATTAAGCTAACAGAAATTGTAAGGTTAAGAAAGCAATGTACGCAATTGTTTGGGATCTGATAAGGAGGAGATGAGGACCTCCAACCATATGCGTTGATTTTTCTTGTATTTGCAAAAATAGGTATGCAAGTGCAAGGGATGCATGGCCAATTGACTTTCAGCAGCTATCCTGAAGATTTTGGGATTTATCGATTGCCTGAGTGGGATTACCTGATCGGGATTTATGTACAAATAAACCCGTGAGGCGGGTAGATCCACAGAATTTATTAAATGCAAACCAAAAAAATATAGCTCGTGCATACATTCATACTTACCAGATTATCTTAATTTTTCCTTAACTACATATTTTCCTTTGTAATGATAGGCAATTCCTTTGCGATTAAGACCTTGTAGAGTTTATGTTATGAAAATTTGGTTTGGATTATGAAAACCAAAAACCAAGATTCATATCAATTTTTGTCCAGTACGTTTAGTTCAATCCTAAATCAAACAGTGCCACTATGTGTTTAAGTAAACGCCATATTAATTAAACAATATTAATTCTGAAAGGTGATGCTTGCGTTATGGTGTAAACTTCTTACAGCCAAATCACAATTTTGATCATCCGATTACTTAGTAAGAATTATGATTCCTGGCCAACCTTCGAGAGTTTGCGAAATTATAATTAATGGCGTCTTTGGTTTTCTTCGGCCGCTATTTTGCTGGAATTCCGTATATATATCTTAAAACCTCGAAAGAGGTGAAGCAAACTGAATTGGTGAACGAAGCCAGGAAGATTTTAATGTGCCCCATACCTGAAGTGGCTTTAATGCGAGAAGATTTGCTTGTCATGGGTTGGTGAAAAGTGAAGAAATTTCCTGCATATCATGTCGTAAAAATCTCATACTTTTGGAGATAATGAGAATACGAGCATCACGAGAAGTACCAACCAAGTAGGGTAACCCCAAAGTGAAACGACGTAAAATGTCCTATGGAGCAATCGTTTCAGAAGAAGATGAAGAGGAAAGTGTAGAAGAATGTGTTCAAGCTCACCACCGTCGAAAGGGGGGGGGGGGGGGCTACGACACCATCTTCGCCATCTTCATGGGAGCGGGGATGAACTGCACTACTTATACATACTGTCTTGCAACAACGAGGCATCAGGGAATTCGATGGGTTACCAGACTCGGATGCTGCTAAATTCTTGAAGGAGTACGAAAGGCAATTACAGCGGCAGGGCTAAAGTGGATAGCTTTCTTCGCTATATGACAGAAGCAGTGGTACACTGGATAGAGAGATCTCGTGGAAAAAGACTTGAAACTAGAACTATGTTTCACCCACGACGGTATCCAATCAAACGCTTGGCTGGAGTTAAAGAGGTATCAGTTACGAAGTTCATTTGAAAAGGAATTTGTTCCTGACCGAGTCAACTAATTCATCACAACGAGACAAAATCTACAGGAATCAGGCACCACGTTTTTCTACAGAATGATGAATCTCACTTTAAAAGTGGCATGCTGTTGAATGAGGAATCACTCATCACACTCTTCATCAAGCATATGCAGCCCCAATACCAAGAACAACTCCGATACAAACGGTTTCCCAATCTGAAAGCCCTGAAGGAAGCTCTTGTGCTCTTCGATAGGAAGCGACGATACCACTTGCAAGCATAAATTTATTTTCTCATAAATTTATTTTTGTATTTGTTTTTTCATCATTGAACTCATCATTGAACAAATTCCAAAATGTCTCAGTCGTTCAATCATTTGATTTCTTACACGTTATTAAGGACACAGCGGCAAACTTCTGTTTGGCTTGAGACATGTTGTCAATCATTCAATTTTTCATTAAATCAGGAGAAGTTAGTAATACTCGTAGACCTGCATCCCCGGGATGCAAGAGTAATTGATGAGGTTGGAAAAAGTACCGTAGAAGAGGAAATGAGCCATAAAATTAGACTGAAGATCAGATTTGGCTCAGATCGTAAACTTGTCACGCGATCTTTTAATACTTGACTCAACTTAATATTTGGTGGAACGCATATAATACGAGTTTTATTTATTGCAGAACATTCATACACCGAATGCTGGTTACTTCGAACTGTTGAGAGGAGGTGGTTACGATAATCCAACCATTTTAGTAGTAGCGTTGGTAACGTACATACGTACGTGGGTGGAGGTTACGTTCAACAATTGTGGATTAAATTTCTGAGAATTGAAATCAGGTCGAGTTCCGCCAGGGCCAGGTCAAGTGGTCTGTGAAAAATAAAGAAAATTATGTAAATCTGCGTTTATGTAAATATCGTCTACGTAATGATGGTAGTCTACACCGGAATTTTTTTTACATGCTGACCTGGATCATTGTTTGAAGTCTTTAAATAAATAATTTGTGTGTGCATTTTTATTTCATTCGTCAATCAAAAATGTTTTTATTGAATTAAGTTTATAAATACTGTTAAATTTTATTTCACTTATTATCATTGCATACGCATTACAAAAATTACACATCAAAAAAGCTGACTACAAAGGAGTCGTACATTAAAAATCCCTAACCTGAATAAAAAACGAAGAAATCATTTTTAAAAAAAGTCAAAATAAGTTAAAAAATAAATTAAAAATAATACACCTCTTCCAATTCTTTGCCTTCCGGGAGTGTCCCTAAAATGGAGGCAACGTTTCCCCGCTGAACAGCCAGCGAGATTCTTTGGCGGAGGAATGTGACAGCATTGGGCTGTCCGGTTCTTGCGGCTATCCGCTCGCCAATTTGGTTGATGAGGAGGAGCCCCTCTTGGCCCCACACCCCAGTCGTTTCCATTGCGACGGGGACAAAAATAAAACGATCCAGGAGGAAGGCGTACCTCCTCCTCTTACTATCTTCCGCCTTGCTGGCAGCAGCGCCTTGGTAGCGCACAGTTTCGGGAAGGTAACTGGGGGCGAAAGTATCTACGCATGTAACATCCCAAACCAAGGATTTTCCTCTTGACCACGGAATTAGTGTCATTCCGTCGGGACGCTTTCCGTCTTGAGTGGAGCATCCCGCAGACTCCCGGATGCAAGGAACTTCCGCCGAACGGAGCGCTCTCGCAATTACGTTGTTGGCGGCCTCATGGCGGGACCATCGCCCTGCGCTGCGCCGACAAGAAAGGCCATGGTAGCCTCGACCAGTAACTTGCGCCCCGCATGGACATTTGTGGGGTTGACAGACGTCACACCCTAAACGGAGGGAAACTGCAATGCGAAACGATTCGTTCGATAGTAGGGTTCCAAGTTGAGGAGATGGAAGGGCATTAAGCCAAGCGCCGGCAAACTTATCCCGCAGGGCACGATACCGGGCGGTGTCCTCCGGCGTGGTCGCTCCTTGTATTAACTGGGACAAGGTGATATCCAGAATTGGACTCTCCCACGCAGCCTGAACTCCTCTGATTGTTTCGGCATAATAAATAATACATATTTATGTTATTTCTATTTATAATATTCCGAAGTGGCATTTAAATAATAGCCAATTTTTCGACGTATGTACATTTAGAAGGAGTGAAACTATTGACAACATTAATTAAGATCGGAAACAACTAATGCTTTTCTAACGACAAACTTCAAAACATTTGTGCACAACAAGTAAAAAAAATAAATCACAGTGCAGGACTACCAACACTATTTACTACACCGAGATAAATCATGCAACGCTTTTATCAAGGTGTAGAATATTATGAAAAAAATTACATAATTTTCCCATTATCCTTTCGAGAGTAATGTTACATATGAACAATCAGTAATGAACAATCTTTGATAAAATCATTTAAAATCAGTCTTATATCCTTTAACTTACAAATGTGGACGTTTGTATCTCCTTAATATTTCAGTTTTTTTTAATTCCGGCGGAATTTTTGCACTCGAATTAAATCCACAAATCGCCAGACATCCAGCTACATACGTTCGCATCCTGAACATTCTGTAATGGATATACAAATTCGTAATCAGCTGGGGCAGAATTTTTTAAATAAATTTAGACAAATGACTTTAACGTCAAATAACTTTTGCGAGAAACGTAACGATGAAATTTAAACAGTCACAATTTATAACCTAAGTTAATTGGAAATGAAACAATAGTAATTATTACTGGATTATTGGATGTAATTAAGTTCTTAATTACATCCATACAATAACGAATCAGAATTATAAAATAATAACTTGACTAATCGTTTCTGGCTCCGAAAGTTACAATTTAAATAATCACGTCGGTTTAGATATTTTACATAATCGTGACTATATATTTTTTTCCAAATTGTAAACTTTATAAACTCTAAACAGTATAAATTCTTTCTGCGATATTCTGGATTTGGGGGTAAATTCCGCCTAACCGATATACCTAGTATCAAAAAAATTATTGTAATTATCCAATACTGGATACTATCACCCTTCCAGGGATGCACCCTTATGGGTTCATAGAAAAAAATAAATCTTTAACTTACAAATGTGTCAGTTTTTTCCTCCTTAATATTTCTGGATTTTTGGAAAATTCCGGCATAATTTCCGAATGAAATCCACAAATCGGCAGACATCCAGCTGCATACTTTTGCATGCCCAACATTCTGTAATGAATATAAAAACTCGTAATCAGTTCGGGTAGATAGACATGTTTTTTTTTGTAAATTTGACTAGCTTATCCTCAATTTCTAACCTCAGGTAATTGAAATCGAGATAATAATAATCAAACCATTAATTAAATACATTACAATAACGAATCAGAATTAAATAATAATATTAAATTTCCGTTGAAGAACTTTCTGGTTGAAGTTATTTTTAATTAGATAATTATTGCCAAAAACTTGCAGCGCTACATACAATAAAGATGATGGTGAAATTTAATCTCAGATCAAAAAGTCAGGACTTTTTGTCACGGATTATGCACTAAACGAATAGAATATATTTAAAGGAGTAAAAACTACTCAAAATCGGAAATGTTATAATTTTCACTTCAAAAATGCTTTCCATATTTGATGCTTGTCCAAGACCCTGATCGCTGTGAGCCTAGGATCCTACGTCTTTAGTCAAAGACACGGACAGGCAGACAAATTATTCAGATTATTGCCGACTCCGATTGTGGCATCGGAATCGACCTGTATTTATTAGCGGGTAGCTATATGTTCTACTAGAATAATAAATGACGCAATAGTTTGGAAGGAAGAATTCGCGAGCAACTTGGGGCGCTCACAAAGTTTGCCCACCGTTGGATATGGGCCAGTTTAGGCACTGCATGTTACTTATAACATGGGGGTATCGGTCACACCCGAGGGTGAAAGTAAAAATTACCAGAAAATCCGTCACCAACTTTATGTTGGGTCCCCAACCATGTTGTACAAGTTGTGCAGAGGCGGGACAAATTTTACACAATTTACATGCATGTATCACCCCTGTTTTTAGTCAGACTTTGGTAAATTTTAAGCAACTTTTATTTAGAGGGTGCATATCCTCATTTGTCGAACATCAAGCGAAGCGAAATAATATCCAAGTAAGCAGTAAAAGAAAGGATTACTCACATTTTTGCGTCTCGCTTTCTGAGATTGATGACAGAATTTGCCTGAGCTGAGCGTCATATTCCAGTCTCTGGGCTGCAAGAGTGATTAAAGAGGTTAGGAAAAGTATCATGTCAACATGTCTGGAAAGGAAATGAGCCATTAAATTTGGGAGCATAACATATTTTGTTCCGTAGATCGTAATCTTGTCATCCGATCTTTTAGTATTTATGTAGCTCAAGTAAAACTTTGTTTATGTAGCAAAACGTTGAGACTAACCCCAACTAATGTATGACTCAAACTGATAAACAGTTTCTATGTAAGAAGTTAATTTAATGCAATTTCGACGACTCCTAAATATGCATAGCTTAAAATATCCAAATTCAGCGCATTCTTAAAGACTTCGCCAAATTTTTCGAATTTGAAAAATTTGCCGAAATTTTTATCAGCTCGGTTAAAAAATTCATCCTAAAATTCTTTTATGGACATTTCATTTTCATTTCCACCAAATTATTTTATACAATTCGATGACGTCAATACACCGTATTCATTAAATTTATCATTTTTTAGCATAAAAATAAAATGTTCAGTAACAGTTAAAAAGGTGAATTGAATTTTATTTTATGGCAGCTTGAAGAAATAATGAGCGTACTCACGTCAACCTTCGCATATCTCGCATATCTCGCAAATTGAGCATAGCAACATAACTTGCGAAGTTTTGCGAGATATGTGAGATTTCGCAAAAATTTTTCTGGAAAACCATGGGATTTTTTTCGCAAATTTACCCAGCAATTGAGCATGTTCTTATTTCGCAAGATTACTTCGCAAACTCATCCTCACCATCGCCAGCAAGAAAAATTAAAGAAATCCATGGAAACAATACCAAAATAGGTGTTCTTCAATAGATTTGCGAGATTAGAGAGATTTGCGAACTCATATTTTGCGAATCCCCTCACGACAGAAATATTTTGATCTTCGCAAGTTTGCTAAATGAGTTGCGATGCGAAATAAGAAGTTGTCGTGAGTACGCCCAATAATAATTTATGTACTTACTATTTTGAGACGAGACCCACTGGCGGACGAGGAGGCAGACGATGTACGACTGCGAGAAAAACGTAATCTCAACCTTGTCCAGACTGAATCTTTCTTAGAGACTGGTTGTCATGGAAACCAATTTGTGTATCATTTGACATCTTTGTCTCAGAGTTTTAGTGTGCACTAACAGATGTATTTACATATCTATGTATATATTAATGTATGCATGCGTGTCTATGTTACGTTTGTTAGTAAATGAATGTATTTACATATACGTATATAGGGTGGTTTAAATGTCAGGTTACAATGAAAAATTTTTCAACGGGAAAAATTCGCAAGTCTTCATTAGTTACCCAAATTTTGCCTATGAAATTAAATAATTTAAGAATTTTGTCATCAGTGTTCTATAAGTTTTGATACAAATTAATAAAAATCTCAATCCGAAATCCGTAACTAATGGAAATTTACGAATTTTTCGCATTGAAAAATTTTCCATTGTAACCTGACATTTACACCACCCTGTATGAATTTATTTTGGAAGTCTGCTAATTACGTTCTGTTGATGGTTTTCTATGTGCAAATATTATCCACGTGGAAATGAAGTTATGTACATGACAATATGTAGATAGGACTTTCAGTTAACGTATGCAAATTATGTATTGGCATGCGTGATTAATCCATGATGCAATTTGCCGAATATAATTGTTTAAATGATGAGATTGTACGTATGGACAGGGGTCAGGCGTCTAAGTTATAACGAATTCGACCTTGAATAACCTCGGCCCGGTTAGTCGTAGCGGGTAAAAATTTTGAACACACGAGCATGTTGTCCTCATAGATCGGAGTACTCCGGGCTTGGAGTACGTACTCCGGCCTCCGGAGGCCGGAGTACGCGGAGGCCGGAGTACGCATGGCCGGCAGGAGGCCGGAGTACGCGGAGGCCGGAGTACGCGGAGGCCGGAGTACGCAAAATATCCGATCTATGGTTGTTCTCAGATAGTTGTGTGCAAAAATTCAGCTCTCCACTTTCAAAAATGCCTCCCCCACAGCCTCCAGAATCTGAAACAGTCATTTCAACTTGTCCCAGAAAAAATCTCGCTCGTGTTTACAAAAAATTTTATTTGAATTTTCTGTTGAGGAATAGGAGTGAGTTATTGATGACAATTGACGAAACACTATTTTCCCTACAAGTTACTAATTGGGTCCGAAAAGCTTACTACACGACAAATGCCGAAAAAAATCACGCAAGTTGGTGCTTTTGCGTGAGGAAAACTTTTCCAAACATTTTATTGACGTGGATGCAATGTCGGGTCGTGGTGTCCTCCCACTTATCAAAGTCCCCAAAAAAGTAAAGGTACCTGCAAAGTAATATGTGGACCGTGTACTGAAACCGCTTTAAGAATCACAATTTCCTACATTGTACGGTAAATAAATAAATAAGGTGATTTTTCACGATGACGCAGCGTCTTCCCAGACGGCAAAATTCACCCAAGATTATGCAAAGGACCTTGAAGCTAGATTGGAGATAAAAATCACTTCGAATAGTGAAATACCTGTATAATCACCGGATGTAAGTCAAATGGAGTTCTTTGGCTTGGGATATTTAAAGAAAAATTTTTCTGCCGAGATCGATTTTTTAGACGCAGTTTGGAAAGAGTTGAAATGACTGTCTAAACTTCTGGGGGCTGTGGGGGAGGCATTTTTGAAAGTAGAGAGTTGAAATTTTGCACACGGCTATCTGAGGATAACATGCTCCTCTGTTCAAAATTTTGACCCGTTACGACAAACCGGGCCGGGGTTATTCAAGGCCAAAATCGTTATAACTTAGGGCCAGGCGAAGTGACCTTGAATCCGGGGGAGAGAGTAATTTACACCCTTGTCCGTTTCTGCGCTTATCTTTTGATGGTGATCTTGGGCATTTTTGTGAGCCTGGCGACTGGCGTTTATCAACTCTACCTCAAAATAAAATTGAAGAGGGGTAATACAGCTTATTCAGTTATTGAGTACTAATTTACATATGTTTCAACGTTTTATTCTTAAACCGAAAAAAAAATTGTTTGAAATTTATTAAAGGCAAAGTTTTAAAGGAGGACGCACCCTTCTTATGAGAAAATCCCCCCGTGATATTTGCCCCAAATTTTGATATGTTGTACACCTCGAGGTGCTTATCAAAAAATGTATTGGTCCCTATGCCCTAAGTCACCTGGTTCGACCGGAAACCGAGGTCAAAGGTCAGTGCACTTTTTCGCTCGAAACCCAACAAACCGTATATTTTTGGAAAGCTACGGACCTCACGAGTCCGAATATACACCATAATAGGGTCAAAGGTCAACCTTTGACCTTTGGAGGTCAGCTATTTGGGCAAGGTGACCGTTTATGGACCTTACGGACTCCGCTGCACTCCGGTCAGCCGAGTGCATGGCAACAAGCTTAGTCGACTCTATGGCTGTTGTGTGTGCAACTGTGTTGCAACAGCAACACACATTTACAACTTTTTGCTTGACCTCGAAAGGTCAAGACTTGACCATTGACCCTATTATGGTGTATATTCGGACTCGTGAGGTCCGTAGCTTTCCAAAAATATACGGTTTGTGGGGTTTCGAGCGAAAAAGTGCACTGACCTTTGACCTCTGTTTCCGGTTGAACCAGGTCACTTAGGGCTTAGGGACCAATACATTTTTTGATAAGCACCTCGAGGTGTACAACATATCAAAATTTGGGGCAAATATCATGGAGGGGGATTTTCTCATAAGAAGGGTGCGTCGTCCTTTGTATGGAATAATTTTGTTGTTAATATTTGGCGTACTCACGACAACAGCTTATTTCGCACCGCAACTCATTTAGCAAACTGGCGAAGATCAAAATGTTTCTGTAGTGGGGGGATTAGCAAAATATGACTTCGTAAATCTCTCCAATCTCGCAAATCTACTGAAGAACACCTATTTCGATAATGTTCCTATAGATTTCTTGAATTTCTCCGGCTGGAGATGATGAGAATGAGTTTGCGAAATAATTTTGCGAAATAAGAACATGCCCAAGTGCTGGGTAAATTTGCGAAAAAATTGCATGGATTTGCGGCAAAATTTTTGCGAAATCTCGCATACCCGCAAAACTTCGCAAGTTATGTTGTTATGCTCAATTTGCAAGATATGCGAAAGTTGACGTGAGTACGCTCACTATAGAATGATAGAGAACTAGTTTCATGCCTATTTACAATTTACATATTTCTTTATTTGCATTCTTTTCGCAGATGAGGGGAACAAATTACCGAAATCTGTGAAGAGCTCCGGATCCATGAGGAATTATCCATGCAAATATTGCGGCAAGGTGTTTATGAACTGTGCTAATTTCACGATTCATGAGAGGACGCACACAGGGGAGAGGCCGTTCTCTTGCGATATTTGTGGCGAGGCGTTTATTCAGTCCAGTCATCTAACGAATCATAGGTATGGATAAATTTATAAATATTCCATATTTCCATTAACACCACAATAAGTAACCTTGGTAACTAATTATTTCCTTAGAATTATTCATCAATTATTCATGACTTACTGAGTAAGCCCATTCAAGGGTACGGACGGAGCGACTTTTGGAGCCCTTGCTGGTCACAATATAAATATCACATGCATCTGATTTATTAAATATCACTGATCAACTAATTGTTAACTTCACAAACGGTGAAATAAATATATAACTAATCATAAAGGATTCGTACTTGCGAAATTAAGATATTTCTATGCTTATTTATAAAGCTATTCATAAGTTTATAATTTGATGGAATAGTTGTCAAGTTTTGAAAATTCCACTCCTTGTACCAATAACTCTGTAGAAGGATTCTAAGGGATATGTATCGCTCCACGTTGCATCGATTTCACGGAATTAAATATAAAAAATTGCAAGTAAAATTCCGGGTGCTGCGGTCGATGCAGCATAGATATTTCCGAATTGTATGTAACCACACCCCATTCAAAAATTGGAGGAGGAAAATTGGAAAAATGAGAAAGTCTATGCATACTAAGCAAAACAGGAATTAGACCAAAACTTGCATTTGACATTTCAATACCTCCATAAATACGGACATTTTGATGAATAAAAAGTTTCAAAATTTGAAAGTTGGCAGTCTTTGAACCTACACATAAATCGTTAAAAATCTCATGGTTCCCACACTTTTACTTATGACAACCTAATGCCAGATTTTTCTTCTTGGGAAGACCTATATTTTTAGCTTTTGTTAAAGTGTAAAAGTTTTGTTAAAGAGTAAAAGTGTGGGAACCATGAGATTTTTAGGGTCAAAGTTTCTGAGGGAGGGGCTTATACGGCAAAAGCCGTAACAAACCATACCCACTAAACTATAGAGAAGCAAAGTGAGACAGGATTCTCCTACGACCTTGACGCGAAGTGGTGGTGCATACCCACAAGAACCCGAGTTTTTCTCTTTTTCTCTCGAAAATGGAAACACGTTTCGTGGCACATTTCCCTCAGAATCCCTCTGCAGAGGCTTGGCTTTTTCGAATGAACACTATTTGTAATGGATTTCATCAAAGTAAATATGTTGAATTGTGTCGAAATTTTGAAGGCTGATCAGATACGTTGAAAATCGGAGGTTCAAAAATTACAAGGTGGGTATCAGGTTAATGAATATTGTTGAAATTTATAATACAACAGTTTATATGCTGCAATATTTTTGACCAATTTCGTATTCGCCGGTGGAAAAAACTTTTTCTTCCCGGTATCCAACATTGCCAAAAAATTTCCCGGTCCCAAAAATTTCCCGATTTAGTGAACTTTATAGTTATTCTTCTCACAAACGCTTTGGACAATATAATAGTATTTAGCTAATTACTTGGTGGTTGGTTTACTAATTGTAATTACCATGCGCTTCTATTATTACACTGCATTTGATGCTACGTATATTCATTTGTGGGAATAAGAAGCAGGAAGTTTTGTTATATTCTTCAGCTTTGATCTTCAGTCCCGCGAAAGAGCAGATCAACACTGCATGTACATAGATAGGAGATTTTAGAATTTAATTGAGTGTGGTAAAGAGTAGAAACTACTACCAAACTAATGCTTTCAGTATTTTTGATAAGAAGTATTTTGTAGACA